GCTGAGAAATACAATTTTACTGTGATTGTGATGCTACTGCATTTTGTGAACATTTGCAACTTGCTATGCCATACATAATGCTAAATGCTTCTGCAGCAAAGATGATAGTTAAGTTATAAAACACAACATTAAACAATGCTACAACAGGAATAGTTTTACCTGCAATGCCTCAAAAAAGTTAGCCAGGTAGCGCTGAAAGCCTTCTGGTTGACAACTGTTTGGTGTTCCTTAGTTACTGACAGCAGAAACATCAGCGCAAAGTTATGTAATTTATCTATGGTGTGCTCTTATATAGAAATTATACTGGTTTGGTGCATTCTGGAATAAATATAATATAATCATTTAATATCATTTAATATTCCACAAAAATATAACATCAAAACGATTTAGTAAGCAAATGTGTTATGCAAGAGGTGAGTCATGCTTTAATAAGGGGCCATAATGCATTTCATTTTCAGGCTTGCCATTGTTGCATAAGTGCTGATATCAAGACATGCAAATATGCTTCTGAACTAATCAATTTTTCACTCACTGTGTAACCTGATCTGGATTTTTTCTCCTGTGACATTTGAAGCCGATCCTTTGCCCTCAGTAGCCCAGGATGTGTGGTGAAAGGTGGAAAAATGGTGAAAATGTTAAAAATAATCCCAGTTGGATTGCTAAGGACTGGAGATCACTTATTACTGAGATAACTGACTAGTTCAGCAGTGATATTCATCATGACGCATTATGTTAAAACCATCGCATTTAGTCCTTTTAAACATGGACCTGTTGTACTTCTGTATTTTCATTCATTGACTCCGGACCACTTTGGTATGATTCATACTTCACTATAATCTGGTTCAGTCACTCTGTCTAAAAGAAGCTTTTTCAGCTCCCCATTTAAGTTTTTGTGATTGGCTTCGCTTGTCACTTGAAAAAAGAAACCGTAGGCAGGAGGTGGGTGCAGGTGGAGCTTCTGGTCTCATACACAGAGCCATGTGCTTGCCATAACCGTTTTATCCTCTCTCTTATGACATCATACAGAGCCAGAAATATATGAAATGCCCACCCCGATTTACACTATAGGCAGTATAAAATATGCCTGTAGCTTTCAGGTGTGAAAAGTGATGACAGTGCAGAAGTGCCTTAAACCTGTATTTTCTTTAATGGCCACTAGGAGGCGATACCTGTGATTGCAAAAACACCTCAGGGAAAATGGCCATTTGCCCTGGTCTATGTGACCACTTTGCTGTTGGAATTATGGACTCAGTGTTTCACTCAATATGATGTGAAATCAGTGACTGAGTCTGTTTTTGAAATTCTTGTCATTCCAGGTTTCAGAAAAGAGGATCCATGTATTTGTATTTGCTAGTGAGTAAAGTAAGATCTACCACTCACAGTGTAAACACTGACTTCATTTGGTCACATTTATGATCACCTACCACTTCAACCACAAGATAAGTAAAATCATAATTTGTTCCCTTTAATAAATTGCGTCTTTATATAAACTATCAACTGACAAAATTATAACAGTTTTAACAGTGACGCATAACATTTTATTTCCCCATTTTTTCCATTTATTTAACAATCTTTCGATCAATTTTAATTAACAAACAAACTGTCTCCAAACTACTGCTCAAATTCCCACAAGAGTTTTTAAATGAGTGCACATTATGAACAACTAAACACAAAGGAGGCTGGATCCAGGCAAGCTTTATTGGTTTTAAACTTTTAAACAAAACACTGCTGGCAGATTAAAATCCTGCAAATAGTACATTTTCAGGAATATTGAAAACAAAAGTCTCTATTGGAACCAACATGTTTTAGTAATAACATGGCCAATTATTGTCTGATCATGAATCATTAATGTAAACTTTTCCCCTATCATTGATAATGTAAACATATCCAGGGTAACTGGCATAAAGAATATACAGTGAGAACATATATACACCCAAATCACAGTCTGAGGAAACATCTGCGCTGAATAAAGGAAGTAAACTTTTCAAAAGTGGTTCACGGAATCAGAGCTCTACATCTCTAATGTGATGTCCTCAAAAACACCGTTCTGATTTATTTGTATCAAGAAAAAAACCCTCAGAGGTCAGCTACATAAATATATCTCTGTGTGTGTGTGTGTCTGTTTGTGTTAGTGTGTGTGTGTGTGTTTGTGTGTGCTCGCTACACAGCAAGGATGCTCAGCTTTGGCATTTAAAATAAACATCTCAAAACATAAAGCAGAAGCTCTCATAATCAGCTGCTAAAGAATTTTCTATTTCATTTTCACATAGCAAATATTCATAAAATATGCTATTAACACTGCAATTAATTTGCTACAATGTTTTTCGTTAACAGTATCACAGGCTGTAAGCGTAACACTTCTCCCCAGTAGGTCTAAAAATGGCTACAAACAATGCCCTATGCTAGGCATGATTGTTAATATGCTACAAAAACAAGCAATCTTTCTGGTCACTGTGCAACAGGAGAACTTGGATAGGAGGCAAACTGGAAAATGTGTTTCATAGTAACATATTTATAGGTACTCAGAATCAGAAGCTTTATTCAGTTAGTTTTTTTCAATATACCTCTATATAACCCCAAACAATCCAAATCATTCCAAATAATCCCAAACTTGCTCTCTGTAATATTGGAAGGACTAACATTTTTCTGTTATGCTACAAACTGTAAACATAGGTGACCTTAAATTTTCTATCTTGCTGTTTAAAAAAGATTCATATTATGAGGATTTAAAATGTGCAGATTGAAAGTGTTTTTAAACTTTAAAGTGCTAAGCTAAATACATATTAAAGCACGAAAACCTGGAATCATACCCATTTTTAGTTTGCTCTCCATCCAAGTTTATGTTCATCAAAGCCTCGACCTCCATCTGTTCTTTATATAAACACACAATTTCATTATAACAAACCAGGAAGATTGAGATTCCATTATGAACCTGACAGTTCAGGTAAGAACACCGTCACCAAAGTGCACCAAAGTTAAACACTGTTAGATCATTTCACTGTCAAACCTCACAGAGCTCACACAATTTAAGCTATCGGGATTCAAAACGCTTTCGCAGTCTACCTAAACCCAGGCTTGTCCTTGTCATGCAGTATCAGACTAAAGCCCCAATCACACAGGCTTAAAGACTGAACATCTAGTAACCACCGCTTACAAGTGAAACATGTGCATTCTCTTACAAGAGAATGTATATTCTGTAATCAGTTACGAGAGGTTGTTACAATGTTGCACTAAAAACCTCCTTGCAGTTGCTAACAGGAAGCTGCAGTCATCTGTAGTTTGCATTAAAAATGCCAATGTCTGCAAACATGTGCCAACTACATGGTGGTGGTACAACTAAGTGGTAGTAAAACTGTGAAGAGTACGACATAAACCAGAAACAAGAGACCAACGGCCTTCAAAATAAAAGTATTAGTTGCAGCGGGAAGGCACAACTTTTACTTGAAGGCAAACGTTTTCCATTTCTGGTTTGTATTGCCCTTCAAATTCCATGTATTCCACTACAGCTCAGAGAGCAGTTGGCAAGTGTTTGCAGACAAGTTGGTATCTGCCATGCAAACTACAGGCAACTGTGGCAATCTGCTAGCCACCAATGCAATCACAAGGAGGTTGTTGGCGCAGCACCTCCTTAGCAATCAATTTCACCTAGTGACAACCAGGAACATTCAGTATTTACCAACTTTTGTAGGGAATTTAGATATTTTCCGTAGTAACCAGAGGTTGCCAGGGCATCACTGACCTGTGTGACCGGGGCCTTAATGACACATCTGTTGTCACTGATGGAAGGTCTGAGAGTTTGCTGCTGCTGTTGCTACATCAGACTACGTCAGACAGAGCAGAAACAAAGCGCCAAATATAAATCACTACAAATGGAAAGAGCCATCTTCCTTGGATATTTATTTTAGAAAACTGCTAGATAATCAATTATTAATAACTCCATATAAACCAACCAAGTAAAAAAGGCAAGGTAAGTTCAGTCCTATTGGAGTTCTTTTAGTGAATTGAATAGATCCAAATGAAATTCAATCTCCACCTGGTTTTACATTTTCTCATATCTGCATGTAGTATTAAGTATACATCTAAGACAATAAATTCTAAGTTCATGGCGTCAACATTAAAACTCCAAGGCATCCAGTTTGATTGTACCATGGGTGATCACCGCTGAAAGAGACAGTCCCCATTCGCTCAGGTCATGGAAACCTTCAACCTGTGAAGCTCCCACAGATGGTAGTTGACTGTGCTCAGTTAAAAAGTCTCAGTTACATCTTCTGCTTCCGTCTTCAAAATGTTAAACATTCATTCTCAAAGCTTCCAACTTCTAATACAAACAACTTAGAAAATTTGATAGCTAAAACATCTTAAACATATGGGAGAACATTTATTTCAGCAAGATCGCAGAAGAGGGAGAAGAAGATCTGTACATTAGAAGTATAAATCTCTATTAATACACAGTTTACCTCTGGTTGTACCTGTAGGTCATGGTACAAGGGCAAAAGTGAAAAGTGATACTGAATATTAATACACTGGGCACTCTGCATAATAAAGATGTTTTTTCATGAACAGGGTTGGGAAGAACTGAAGGATGTGGTGGTATTAAATTTAAATACACCTGGAAATTCCATGTGAAAGCAGACGAAACATTAAATAATTGTTTTTTTCAATAAACACTAATAACATTTTTTTAATATGTTAAAGTAGCTTGGCCTTATTAGAGCTTGTCTGCTGGCCTTTTTACAGCACAATTCCTATCAAACATTTTTTTTATTTCTTTACATCTGCACTGTAAAATGATGTGGTAATGCAGGGATGTCTTTTTGTTTTATAGCTCAAACTGGAGATTAGAAATTTCACCAAGGATTTTTCCATTGGCCTTTTGGATTAATATGGGAATCTGTGGGGAAATAAAAGTACTTTTATTTACTTTTTTTCTAAACTTTTCTTCCATGAAGATAAATTTTTTCTGAAATTTAATTAAAACTCTTTTATTTTTTGTTGTTGTAAATGACATAAATTACTAAATAAAATCAAGATAATTTTGTTTTAAATCAGAATAAATAGCCTTAAAAAATGGTCCATCCTAGTTGTGAACCAGATTTTAAAGATATAAAATAAATATGGTTTACACAATGTGAAAATGTGCAAACAAACATTCAATGGTCAAATTCCTCCTTTAACTGAGACGACCGGAGTCAAATTTAGATGTATTCTCTGAAAACTGTGAGCTGTGTTAGATGTAACACCCTCAAAAGTCTACTGCATGTAGCTTCCCTTATGGACAAATACCAAAATGTAAACAATAATTATAATAATATACATATTTTTTTAATAATCATTACTAAGGTGTTACTTCCATGAAACCAAGATTTATTTCTAAAGTAATCAAGATACTGCATCGACCTTCCCAACCACATTCACAAAAATATGAAAACATTAATTACAAGAAAGTTGGGTAATGTTTTCATATGATTCATAATTCAACATTTATCTTGTTTTTGTGAATGGACAGCATTTTGGAAATGATTCAGCTTCCTGTTTCCTGTGCTGTTTGACACTGTTGCCTGTGTATAATGGCCGTGATGATGAATGTACCCGTCAGAAACCCCACAAACGTCTTGTTGCTACTAATCATCGTATCTCTCACTCCCTCCCATGTTCCCTCCCAGCGTGTTAAAAGTTTTGTTGAGTGTCTGTCTTCATCTCGGGCTCAGCATCAGCAGTGAGTCATCCCTCCGCCCACCTGCTTCTCTTCACCTCCTCCCCTCTTTTCTCTCCTCTTTTTTGATCTCCTTAAACCTCACTTCTTCTACTTCTTTGCTACAACCCTTCCTCCCACACACTTGGCGGGTATGGGTTCATGTGTGTTTTTGTCGTGTGGTGTATAAGCGCTGTAACAGAACCAATCTAACCCCCCACCCTCATCCCCAACCCCAGATGTGTTTTGCGCCCTCCTGCGCCCTCCACATGTAGCCTAGCATGGCGAGGCGCTCATTCGCATGTGTGCGTGGTAGCGTGGAGGAGGCACGGCAGAGGGTGGCGCCGCCATAGGCAGGGACTGGGGTGCAGGCCCACTCGGGTGAGGGTGTGGCTGAGGGTGGGAGTGGATATGTGAACCCCTGGACAGGGTGGAGGTGGCACCTGGGTGAAGAGGATGTGGATATGAGGAGGAGGTGGAGGAGGAAGAAGCTGGTTGGAGCTGGTAGCTGGCAGCTGATGACGGTCCAGAGGAAGAGGGTGTTGCCTGGGAGCTGCTGCCCCCCTTGGGAAATGGCTGCTGGGGTGGAGTTTGGTTGAGCTGGATGGAGATGTCAGAGGAGACATCGGAGGCACTGCGGCCTCGCTGTGGTGGAGCCCAGGAGTCTGGGTGGAGGTACTGGCCGCTGTAGTCGCTGCAGTCGGACATGCGGGGGCGGTACAGTGCAGGGTGGGGCCGGTAAAGCTCCTCCTCAGCGTAACGCTTCATGAAGAGGTAGACAGACATCACTCCTGCACCCTGGAGACACAAACAAAATACTGCAACGTTACAGGATATCCTGTTTGTTGTTTTGTAGATTCATCCAGTGGTAATATTATTTGGTCTGATTAGTTTTTCTTTCGTTTTTTTTAGGTTTGTTGTTAAGCATGATGTATCTCGCTCTATTAATCTGGCTCTTTAAACACAGTCCTCTGCAGTGATACAGCATGTCTGTCATGCTTTTCCAAACAAAAGCAATGTAATTCTCTCCACAGTCCATCATTGTGGCAATGATGGACTGTGGGGTGGGCCACTTATATGGACACACCGTAATAACATGGGAATGGCTGGTGATATTAAAGTCCTGTTTGTGGCACATTAGTATATGTGAGGGGGCAAACTCCTCAAGATGGGTGGTGACCATGGTGGCCATTTAGAAGTCAGCCATCTTGGATACAACTTTTGTTTTTTTCAATAGGAAGAGGGCCATGTGACACATCAAACTAATTGGTAATGACCACTTGCATTTGTGCATCTTTGAGTGTGATCCTGAGTGAATCAGGGGGACAACGTCAACTCGACAAGTCTATGAATGTCGAGAAAAGTAACACCATTGTGCTGGTCACAGTGCTGACCTGATGTTTCTTTTTGGAGATAAAGTATCTGAATTTCAGGAGCAGAACCATGCCTCCAAACACACTCCTTCTGGTTCTCATCTATATATGTTCCCCCTGTTTGTTCTCATTTACGTGCCCCACCCTCTGTCCCCTTTTCAATTCTTTAACTTCTTCGCTTCTCATTAGTACATGTGGATCTGCCAGGCCCGGGAGCCACCGCCAGTCCCCTTCTAGGTCTTCCCTGAACTGCAGCTCAATTCATGTCCAAGCCATTTACCTTTATCTACTAAAATGCTGTCAAACCTCAAATGAGGACGTGGGCCCAGCGAGTGAATTGTAGCTTGGACACAATGGAGTCTTGCACTGAAAACTGCTATTTGACCTCTTGGTTGAGTCCCATCTCTCCACCAGCGATGAAAGAATTTGATATTTGTTTGTGAAACAAGTTTGAGGTCCATGGGAACAATGACCTTAAAGGAGAAGAACAATTTAGTAGCTTTTCCTTATGGCTAATATTTGTAATCACAGCTCAGGTTTAGTTGCAGGTAGACTTCTTCCCTATCATCTATAGTAAGATATAGAAGCTATGCTTTGGGACTATAAACCTTCATTCAAAAGGAAGAAACGGTAATCATTATGCAGTCCCAACATGCACCAGTGCTGCCACTGCACAGAGGAAGGACCTTGCAGACATAGATGATTGAGTTTGGTGTGGAAGAACTTGATTGGCTTGCACGGTCTATCTGATATCATTGTGTTGATGTTTTTCTAGGATCAACATTGCATCTGACAAATCACATAATTATGATGTCATAGCTTTGCAGCTTGGACAATAACTTGCCGATGTCCTTTCATGAAAAATCTTTAAAGAAACAGATCAATCAACGTTTTGTAGATCCAGGAATAAGACCAACATGATGAGTATCTCACATCGAGAGCCTTGCACAGAGTCCTGACCTCAACCCAACAGAACACCTTTGGGATGAATTAGAGCAGAGACCAAGCCAGACCTTTATCTCCAACATCAGTGTCTGAGCTCACAAAGGCACTTCTGAAAGAACTTTCTAAAATCCCCAAAGGATTTGAAGCTGTTATAGCTGCAAAGGGTGTGTCGACATCACATCCTTTGTAGCTATAGAATCTATAGATTAAGAATGGGATGTCACTCAAGTTCACATGCAGGTGAAGGCAGACGAGCAAATACTTTTGGAAATATTGCATATATATTATTGCTATCTTTCTTATAGTGGAAGTAGTTAGCTTCTAAAAAAATGTTAAATGATTGAAATCACATGTATAATCCAAAACATACCTACTGGCTATAGAATTTCAGATCTAACTGGCCATATTCAAAACAGCTCTAGTAATATAGTTTAGGATAGACAGCAATGCAAGTGACGCTGATGCATTGACAATGTCTGCCAAAAAAACCCATAAATTAGATGAAGCAGGAACAGGCTCCTCTCTCTCTCCATCCATGACACGACAACATCTGCATTGCCTAAGGGAGCCAAAGTGAACAATGCAGAGTTCCCAGAAAATTCCCATACGCTTAAAGATTTACTAAACACAAGAATCAGCATCATCCTCCCTAAAGTGCAACACACCATAAGGAGGAGGGTGGGGGGATGAAATAAATCCGTACTAATTTTGCAGAGAGTTGACAAAAAGGCTCGGTGCTCCTCAGCGGAATGAGCCATTATCAAAAATGTATTCATGTTTTCACCCGGGCATCCGCTGAGCATTCACAGCTCATTCACTATTCATCCACAACATCATCGCTACAACAACCCTGAAACCTGAATGCTGATGAACGTGTGTGTGTGTGTGTGTGTGTGTGTGTGACAGAAAAATTGTGTAGTTAAATGTTCTTTGCTATTCCAGCACAGGTTAGAAGAAGAGTGGGGAAGAAAAGAGAAGATAAGGCATGGAAAGAGGGCAGAGTTAAAGAAAATAAATAAAAGGAGAGGAAGTAAGATGAAGGACTGAAGTGATAAAACATGGGGAAAAAAGAAAAAAAAAGGGGGAAGCGAGTGAACGGATGATTAGAAAAGAAAAAAAGAGAAAAAAAAAAAAGAAGAGGATGCCTGAGTGACACATGCATGAGTAAAGATGCTAAGACGGATAAACCCATGTCAAAGGAATGGAAAGACGACAGGTAAATGAGCGAAAAGAGGATTAAATAGGAAAAGAGGGGCAAGACTAATAGAAGATTAGGAGGAGCGTGTGATTACAGCAGGTGAAGACGCGATAAAGACAGATGACAGCCACTTTATGGGCACGAAAGATGGGAAACAAGATGGGAGGATAGAAGAAAGGATAAAAATTGGAATAAATAAGAAAAATTTAGAGGAAATGGAGGACAAAAATAAAGATGGGACGTGAATTTAAAAAAAATTAACAGGAGAATCAAAGCAAAAGCTAAGCAAGAAAACATGAGTCAAAGATTTAAGCGAAGACTGGAGGAGAAGAAAACAGGATTATAGACTGAAAGATAACTGAAGAGGGAGGACTAAGATCAAAGAAACGATGGTGAAAAAAAGAAGTGGGAAGGGAAGAAATATGAAGTAAGAGAGAAGAGAGCAAAGAAGAGAGCAAAAGATGAAGTTAAGCCACACCATGCAAGAGGACAGCAGAGGAGATAAGAAGAAGAAGAAGGAGGGGACAACAGAGGATTAAAGAACTGAAGATAAAAGGAGAGAGAAAGAGACAAGATAAAAGTAGAGGACATATAAAGAGAGAAAAGACTTGAGTTAGGCAGAGAAGAGACAGCAGGAAAAGGGAAAGGAGAAAGACAAAAGGGACAGAGATGAAATGGAAGGAATGAAGGATGAAGGAGGAGTGGAGCACCCTCTTTCTCCCAGTGAGGAATATTTGGATGCATATGAAGCTGTGCTGCGACAGAGCTGCTGCCCTCAAGTATTCAAGCTATTAACATTTATGAATATTGATGCGGGCAGGATGACGGGCTCCTACGCAGGCACTTTTTAAATGTGTGTGTGTTTAGCTGAATAAGTCTGCATTTTCAGCAAGCGTGCATGCATGTGTGTGTGTGCGACTGTGTGTGCACATGTTTAGACAGCATGGTCGACATCCAAGCAAGATTCCAAACAATCTCTGCATGAACATTAAGGCTTATAAATGTTGAGCAGCAGCACATTTTTGTGTCACTGGGAACTTCTCACTGTGCCCGAGCACATCTGCAGTGTGTGAGTTTTCCGCTCAGCATGCGATCACTCACGTGTTTGTCTGTGTGCAGCAGCTGTGCGTGTTCGTGCTTGATTAACTCTTTGAGAATGCGTGTGGTGGTGCGTATTAGTGTGCTTCAATCACCTCTTTGAGGAGGAAGGAGGAGGCGGCAAAGGCAAAGGACCAGCCGTAGTGATAGTGGAAGAACTGCTCAGGCTCTCGAGGTCGGTTCATCACCTCATCGTTAATACTGGAGATGTACAAAACCAGACCCACCACCAGACTAAGACCTGCAAGAGCACAAATACACACATATGGTAATCACACAGTGAGAAAGATAGATGGTCCCGCTCTATGATAATATAGCGTATCCACGTCTCCTTGCATAAGTAAAATATAACATCAGAAGATGAGTCAAGTGTTGGATGTTATTCTGAGCCATCTGCTTTCCCCAGAGCAGGCACTGGAACTCCCTCGGGAACAGGGTATTCCTGCAGGCTGGTAACCTCTATAAACACATATCTGCACATGAATATGCAGAAGTCGAATGAAAGGGACATGATTTAAGTTACAAAAAGCTTTCTGGTTTTTGTTTGCAGTCTGCTTGTCATCACATTTGAGTAGGCTGCAGTTAGATGCTGGTACTGTGCAGACCCTTTAGGAAACACAGAAGGTGTTTTATTTTTCAAAAACGTAATCTCAAAAACATGGATTATTATTTGACAGCGTTAAGGTTTTATTTGGTTTTCTAATATATAGCTTATATCTGCTTTCATAAACAAACAGCAGAGTACGGAACAGGAAAACTTGACCCAAACACCTTTAAGATCACACGGGAACACCTAGCTGTAGATAGTTGTAGATAAGCAGGACTCGAAACTCAAAGGGATTAAGTAAGAGAGGCAGATTTATTGCACTGTAGAAAAACTAAAAAAAAAATACAAACTAAGAAAACGTAATCTAAACTGGAACCAAAGGACGTGGAAGCTAGGAAACAATAAACAGACAAACTAGACGCTAACTATGAACACCAGGGAGCCCAAGGACCACAAGAAGGACGCACAGCAATGTGGGACAACGCAACAACTGGCAGAGGAAGACAGAGGACTAAATACACAGAGGATAACGAGGGGATGGGAAACAGGAGGGAAACACAGCTGGAAGTAATCAGACAAAATGAGACAGGGAGGAAGCAAAACTGAATACAGTTGTGAAACACAGGATGTGAGACTGTGAAAAGAAAACAGGAAACAAGACATGACAGACTACATATGAAATGTGGACACAGGGGAGGCAAGGACACAGAACCATGAAGCATACGACATCAAAGAATTATAACTGAAACCAGAATTTACAGACCCAGTGCCATGACACTATCTACTGTTAGTCTTTAACCTCCTAAGACCCGAACTCTTCCACAGCATGCATTTTTAATTTCTCTTTGATATTTGGGCATGAATGTAAAAATAAAGAATTACCAGATTTTTTTTACCTTATTTTTCTTTTTATGAAAAGTCAGAGCCACATATGAGGATATTCGTTTAAAATTTTGATAGAACAGTAGCAGTATAATGTCCTCGTAAGTGGATATCAGGCCCTTGTAGAGCAAAATTGAGTATTTTGGTCTAAATAACCCAAAATGTGATGTCCACATATGTGGACGCCAGGTCCTAGGAGGTTAAAGTTTAGATAGCCTCTGTTTGAGACACAGGGTGTGATGTACTCAACATGTGTAGATGCCATAGGATTGTTTATACATTTTAAGTTTCTCTTTTCAATTAAATATGGGGTTCAATGTATTTGCAAATCATTGCATTCTAGTATTAGTTCATTTTACACACAGTTTTTGAAGCAGTCATGGTCCTACAGTGGATTCATTAGCTCATCTCCACTGTGGAGAATAGTTAGGAATTAAAAGTATAAATGGATTAAATAACATATCTAAAACACATACTTCTGTTTTTTGTAATAAAACGTGACCACAATGACTCAAAAATGATAACAGCTCCTCTGTGACCTTTACTGTCACCTTTTAGGGCTCCTGGAAATTAGTGTAGCCAAGAGGTTAAGATGAGTTTACTCTGACAATTAAAATAATGGACTGTCACTGTAAACACAGTAAGACAAACAACTGTACATACCAATGTTTTGGACAGGGCATAATATACTATAAGACACCACTATATACTCAGCTAAATGTGCAAAGTGTATCATTTTTGAGTCAAAACAGTTTCATGTTAAATACAAGAGCAAAAGGAAAGAAACAAGCAGCTTATTACATTTAGTTCTCTATCCTTCATAAATGTTTAACAAACCTCCAAACTACAAATAACCAGTAAATCAGGAGGGGCGAGGCTAATGCTGCATTCCCCGGTTACCCTGAAATACTAATCCCATCTGAATGGGCCTTTCTTCTTGTTTGTGCGTGTGTGTATTTGTGTGCATGTGTGCACTTTGTAGCTGGAATAGCTAATGATAATGTGTCCTGCTTGTACTGTAAATAGGCTGAGAAACAAGCTGTGCTGTGGCAAACAGAGATAAACAAGAACACAATCCCACAAACACACTTCGTATGGGAGAAGCGAAGCCTCATTAGGAGTGCGTCAGTTCCTCCCCTGTCGACAGACTAACCACAGCAACTGACCTGCAAAATCCTTCAACAGTGAAACCCTCTCATTCCAAACACAGCAAATGATGCAGATGCTTCCACTTAAAATCACCTTACAGCTCATTTTCTCTAAAAGTGTCACCGGCGGATTCATCTCATAGACTGTGCTACATAACACTGAAATAAAGAAATAAATATATAAACGTAGCCTACATGGAGCTTCCAAAAATGTGTTAAGCCATATTTAGGCTGCTACACTGACATGTCACAGAGACTCTGTAGCTTAGCAGATCTGCTGTGCTCCTCCTTAAAAATGTAAATGCATGTCGGACACAGCTGCACAACACGTCATGAATTATCCTATCATTGTTTTCCCCTATGTTGATGATTGAGACAGCTTACAGTGAAGACAATATTATTTAGGGACATTGTAGCGATTGACCCAACAGACTGCAACAATTTGAGGAGTGTTTATTGCAAATCGCATAAAAATGCTTGAAAAATACATGACAGGTTCAACACCCACTTTAGCTGTTCAGCTGGTCTCACACACACAACTTCCTCCAGCTCTCCAGCTTCACTATGTAAAGGGAGAAGCCTCGTTAGTGAAATCCCCGACACCTGTCCCTCCAGCCTCCTTGGCACTGCCTCACTCCTCCCCTGCAGCTGAGCCAGGGACCACACCTCCGCCACAGATATATTTATCAAGCAATAGATGCAACAAGCACTACTCCTGACTGAAAATACATGTTCACTAGATACCTTTTCTTTGTGTAACAGACTAATATCTAGGATACAAAATAGTAATTGACCTTTCAATTTCAAGAAAAGATAAAAGTTGACAAGAAAAATCCAACAAAAGACAACAGGGTGCATGATTCAGGTGACTGAACAAAAAATGACTTGACTGGGTGTTGAAAGCATCCCACCTACAGAAAAGTCAGTACATATCAAAAAGGAAATTGTTATCATATACTGTATTTACAGGCAACAAGACTTTGGTGAGTACTGATCTATATTGTGATATTTTTAAGTTCAACGTCAAACCGCTCTATTAGTGGAAAACGAAGGACATTAGTCTGAACACTGTATTTCCTTCATTTGGCCATCAGATGGCAGTGTTGTGAACAGAATGCACATCTCAGTAAAAGCCTCCCAGACATGTGGTGCTAGGACCCATGAACACACATGAATGAGCACACACACATTCATTGGAGAGGAGGTGGAGAAACAGCAGAGAGGGGAGAAAATTACTGGAGGAAGGACAGACAGGAGAAAACAGAGGAAACAGCTGGTACACAGTCACCATGTTATAACCTCAGGCTGCTATGTGACTGATGGCAAGTTTTCACAAGACAAATACACACATGCTGATTTTCTGCAACCGCGTGATGTCATTCTCACTGATATGTGGAGCGTGCTCTTTTATGGCAAACAACAAGAGAACAGCGCACAATAGAAGTGAGCTTAAGTGTCGTCAATTTGCTGTTCAGAAGTGAAACTGGCAATCATCAGCCATCGATTTCTCACCTAACGCTTTCAGCCGTGAACAACAGGACAGAAATCTTCTACTTCTCAAAAGAAGCCCAACAATTGTTGTTGATTTTTCTTTTTTTTAAGCCACAGAACTTCAGCAAAGGTGAAAAGAGGCTGTCAGGGTTTATTCTGAGAGTCTGTTTTCCAAACAAACAAACAAACATAAAACTAAAAAACAGAATAAAAAATATAAAAACTGATCCTCTTTCAGATGCTCTTAATAGACCTTTTTTTTCTTTTTTTCATTAGTAGACTTCAAATTCCCATTTAAAGACCACATAATTATAGAGTTTCAGTCTTAATGAAATGTGGCATCGACGAGATGGTCATGAGACCAGTTACGGCTTGGAAATGTGCAGCTGAGGAAAAGATAGATGCAGAACTAGAGGCAGCTACAGATCCTGAGTTGGGAGTGACAAGGACGGAAAGGATTAAGACAACTCTGGTTGGACTCATCAGCTGCAAGAGAGGTGTTGTTTAATTAGCTTGGACACATGGAGAGGACAGATACTGGGTATACTGGGAGAAGGATGTGGAAAAGCGAGTTAGAATAGAAGAAGACCGAAGGTAGTTACGAGATGCGGTGACAGACGACATGCAGGTGTAGTTTATATAAGATAGAGGTGTCACAACACCCATTATTTTATGAAGGCTTATTGTTTGAAGATTTACTTTATTTTCACTTAGCTTTTAGAAACAAGATGCGATCAGCGACAAACATGAAAAGGGCTGAAAATCCAAAGATATACAAGCTCATCTGGCCATCACTCATCGATCACAAGGCGACCCTAAAGCATGCCCTCTTTTATTGACCTAAATAAAGGTCAAGGTCACGGGAACTTGAACTCATCAGACGTTTTTAGTAAATGCACCTATGGGGTGAATTTTAAAATCCTATGTCACCAAGTTATCACATTCACAGACTTGGGTGTCCACTGTGCCCACCCACGGACACACTGGGTAATAACACATGATATATATTTATAAAAGGGAAAATAATGAAAACATATATATATATAACAAACAACACCCAGCACGCCCCTGCGGGCGG